CTAGTATATATATATATATATAATTATCTAATGTGTATTTGTGAATATTTTTATAGGTTCCGGATTCGCGTCAAAAGCATATTTTGGATCTGGGCTATTTCAAATGAAGATTAAGCTACCCGACAAGGATTCTGCTGGTGTTGTTACTGCTTTTTATGTACTCACGAAAACTCTAAATGTTTTTGTTAATTATTTTCTCCAAAAAGGTTTAAAAAACCACAGTGAAGGTGATTAAAATGATAAAATACATTTCAAAAAAGGTCATCCAAAAAAAAGACAACTCTATGAGGCAAGGTGGTGCATGATTGGTTTGAGCTTGGCTCCAAAGGTCAAAAGTACCAGGAGATCTCAAGTTCAAATCAAATGAGAAATACAAATCCCCTTATGGCCACGGAGGTTCAAACGCTGTGACTCCAAGCTATCTGCAAAACAGGTGGTCGTCCTAGGATTAGTCGGCTCACATAGCGGGTTGGATATCCAGGTTAATTAAAAAAATGGTAAAATACCTTAAGATTGGATTACAAAAAACTAAATTTCCTTAAATACCAAATCGGGAACAAAAATGATTGCAAACTCCCAATTATAACACTAAAAACCAGTTACAGTCTGTATTGGTTGAACCTTTTTTACCCTAAAAAATCGATTCGTGTTCCACATCTTTATACATTATACTGCTTGGTTTAATTTAATATGATGGTTGATGCAGCTGAATACAAATGTGGGCGGGCACGATGAGTTAGATTTCGAGTTTTTGGGAAACAAACCAGGCAAACCCATAGTTCTACAAACAAACGTATTCACAGATGGCGTTGGTGGGAGGGAGCAAAGAACCCGTCTTTGGTTTGATCCAACAGCAGATTTCCATTACTACAAACTGTTATGGAACCAACATCATATTGTGTAAGCACTTATATTGCTTACAGGCCCGTTTTTGACATTTTTTAGGCCCTGAGCGAGATATAAAAAGGGGCCCTCGATAAGTACGATATTTTTTTAATATATTGTTTTTATCATCAGAAATAACATTGAATTCATATAAAACCGTTTTTCCAAGTATTCCTGCTGCAAAATCAATAAGTACTAGTTTCTAATATAATATTATCTACTAGAACATTTTTATGTAGTATCGGTAATTTGTTTCATCATCAAAAACATTCTATAATATACTTTTGGTACATAGAATGACATCATTTGAGGTCGCAAAGTCAATTCTTCTGATTTCCGAGTGACACTACGTAAATCAATGTAAATAGGTTGGTTTTCCATGTCCTCATGTTAATGTTTTTAACATCATTTTAAACTTTTATATTATGTTTTCGAATTTGAAAAGATTAACACAATTTTAAACTTTTATATTATGGTTTCGAATTTGAGAAGGAAAGAAAAAAATCAGAAAGGAAAAGAAAAATAAAAGAAAGAAAGAAAAATAAAGTTTTTTATTGGGTTAAATGCATGAAATAACAACCTACTTTCATAAAAAAAATTATTATAACATTCTACTTTTATTTTTCTTTATTACAGCAATGTATTTTCAAATTATTTTTTATTAAGACATTGTACTTTAAAAAATCTACCCATAATAGCAATGGGTAACCTGTTACCTTTTAAAACCGGTTAACCCTTTGACTTTTTTGCTTGTGTGGCTTTAATGAGGTGATGTGGATGCCACATCATTTTGATGACTTAACTAAAATTAAAATAAAAACTTATTTCAAATTATTATTAGTGATTTTCATTTTTCATTGCTATGATCTAAAAAAACATTTAATTTTTTTACTTTTTCTTATTAAGTTGCATTCAAATTAAATATTCTTAGAATAAAATATTTATTAAATAAATATGAAACATTATTTTCGAGATATATTTTGTTTGTAAAAAAAGTAACTTTTCCTATTTTATGTTGTTCAAATAAATACATATCTTTTAAAGTTCTCTTTAAAATATTAACGAAATAAATTGTTATCTATATTTTTTAATATTGTTATATTAATAAATAATTCAAAAAAATCTAATTAATTTAATATATTTATACGTCAAGTAAATTTTTTTTGAACAAATATAATATATTATTTAAAAGATAATATTTTTTGGTAAAAAAATGAACAATTCTTATTTTCATTTTTTCAAAAGAACATTGTGTTCTACTAGTTTTATTGATATTGATATATTAATGAATAATTTAGAATTTTTTAATTCATTTAATACATTTATTAAATAACATATAAAATATCTAAATATTAAAATTAAAAATATAGTGTTTAATAAGAACTAGTAGATGCTATAAGAAAATAATTTTGAAAGTACAATGATATGGCAAGAAAGTCACATCACTATAGTACATGTGGACAGCCTACGTGGACAATGAGATGGCATAAAAACCTAGTATAATGGGTAAATTTAAATCAAAAGGTTACCCAATGCTATAATGGGTAAATTTTTCAAAGTACATTGCCCTAATAAAAAATAGTTTGAAAGTACATTGCTGTAATAAGAAAAACTGAAAGTACAATGCTATAATAAAGAAATTTATGAAAGTAGATTGCTATTTTTTACATTTTGCCCTTTTTTATTTGTGTTTTTAATAGAGAAGAGAGCGGAACGAAAAATAATGAAGTAACAATAAAATTTGATATAATTTTTTTCCTTTTCCTTAAAAAATCTCGAGAATATAATATTTTTCATCCCCTATTTACTTTCATCTCTTTCCTACGTAAAAGAATATTCAAGAACATAGGGTTAAGGTTAAAACAAATTTTTCTGTAATCATCGATTATATAAATTAAAAAACTCATGTTGGTGATAGTTTAAAATTTTATTCTTCTTTTAGAGATAGAATATTACATACGATTTATACACTCAATATTAGATTATAAAGAATAACTATGAAAAAACAATTATAGTTTTATTATTCTAAATATAGATATAAGTTGTACTGTCTTATATAGTTGGTAATTTTTTCAAAAAATTAGGGTTTTGTTAACTAATAACAAGAAAATCTATCATAATTCTAATATAAAAATAGAATTCACACGAGAATGGAACAATCAAAAGAGTCGATGAGAGATAAATTATGGAGAATATATCAAAGTTTTTGAAGCAAATAGTTTTAGACGTCGGGTTTAGATAAAAAAAACTTAGAAAAACATTAAATAATATTATATAATGAACGACAGATAAACCTCTTTATGTATTTTTTTCTCCAATATATTTAATCCATACTTGTTTGGGTTTTTAATAGTTAATGTAGTACCAAAATCTTTTATTGTCATATTAGATACTAATTTTTTTATGTGTCTTATATTTACTAATTTTTTTTGAACTACTATTATATATATTAAAAAAATTTGGGCCCCTAATTTTTATGGGCCTTGGGCGTACGCCCGGCCCGCCCTCCCCCAGGGACGGCCCTGATTGCTTACTATTTACACGTATTTGTAGCATTTTATAAAAAGCTCTAAACCCATCACATGTTTTTCGGTTCAACCCACAGTTTTTTCCCTTTGAGTTGCATTTTTCTACAATGTCCAACAAAATGGGAACATCTGTAAATTGCCAATCACTAGCAATTTTCATATGCTGCCACAAATGGATTATAAAATTTATCCAAAGAGTCTTTGGCCTAGCGGTACATAATCTTTGGTCTCCTAGGAGGGGGTCAGGGTTTCAAACCTCATCAAAGGTGAGGATGGTGTGTAGGTTTATTTGTTGCATTCATCTTAAATATGTTGTCAAATAAAACCTAATCTCTTGAGCTTTTTTTCTTCAGATTTTTTGTGGATGACATACCAATAAGGATACATAAGAACAATAAGCTCAAACATGACGTACCGATAAGGGTATTAAAGAAGAACAGGTTGAAAGGTATAGGGTACCCTAAAAGGGCAATGCAAGTGGTTGTGAGCTTATGGGATGGGTCTGATTGGGCCACCGATGGAGGTCAAAGCAAGGCCAATTGGTCCAATGAACCATTTCAGGCCCATTTTCAAGATTTTAACATTGATGGGTGTCCTTCGATACCTACCGTGCCTAATAAGGATTGTTATTCTTCACGGTACTGGTGGAATCGTAAAAATTACCGACAATTAAATCAACGTCAACTCAAAGCTTATGAAGATGCGAGAAAAGTGTATATGAATTATGATTATTGTACTGATAGGGGTAGGTACCCTATCCCTCATCCAGAGTGCACTGAGTGAAAACCTCTTTAGCATTTTTATTAATAGTTTGGATTGGAATGGGTCGGACCGAACTTATACAAATTATGATTATTGTACTGATAGGTGTGTGTACCATATCCCTCCCCCAGAATGTCTTGGGTGATAATCAAGGGGTAATTTAGTAGTTTTATTAGTATATGAGCTATCATTTTTACTGGAATTTTCCTTCTCATCATAAGTTACTTTCTCACTGGAACCCAATCTCTCTCTCTCTATCTCTCTCTCTCTCTCTCACACACACACACTTGCACACACATTAAGAAGAGATCTCCACCCCAATCAGATGCACCAGATCTATCTTGTATCAAGCACAATAAAAGTGTTCAAGAGTCTAGATCCCTTCTTAAGCTTCTCAACTTAACTCCTATTCTCAAACGATTCATCATCATCATCACACATACACACACACACACACATATATATACACATAGATATATGGTTAGATTTAAGGGAAAACGTAAAATAAATGGAAAACCGGAAAACAACGAAAAAACGGATGAAAAAGAATATATCAATAGGGATGTCAAATTAACAAGAAAAATATGATCATTTTTTTTGTGTAATTTGTTTCGCTCGAATTTTGTTTTTTTTTCTGTCTTTTTTCAAACAAAAAATATGGGGGTTTGAGATTTTTTTTAATTAAAAATATAATATTATAACCACCCAATTAATCACATCCATTTGATTATCCAATCAAACGGTTGATAAAGTGCTTTTTAGTTTTTCATTTACTTGAGGTTTTTCTCTCATACGTAGATTTAATTGTTTAATCTTATGAAATTTTTTCATGAAATTGTTTAATTTTGTGAAATTGTTTCATATAATATTTTTTTAATGAATTTGTTTCATATATGGTTATAAAATTTTAATGAAAATGTTTCATGTATTTTCCTAAAATTAAAATAATAAATATGATAATATCCATGATTAACACCATTCACAATAAAAATGGTTAATCAATCTCTCATAATTACAAAAAAATGAACAAAATGAAAAATTATGATTGGTTGAATGTGGTTTTCACAGTTTATACAAATTGAATGGTTTTTATTTGAACGCTCCTATATATATATATATATATATATATACTAGTTGTGTACCCGCGCAATGCGGCGGGAGCCATGAATTTTAACGATTTTGAAGCTCCACTGGTTTTATAAAATAAGATTTATCGATGATATAAGTTACACTTGGTCTTTACATATTAATACAATTTGAGTAAATAAGAGTTATGGTTCTAATTACAGACAATTGATGAAAAAATTTGTATGATAGTTTATAAAATCCAACATATTTAAACGACTCCACAAATGTGTTCGATTTACACCAAGAGCAAAAAAAAAAAAAAAACTTGAGTATTAAGGTAAACATTTAAAACCAATAAAGAAAACTACAAATTTGACAGATCATAAGCTATGAAAAGACAAAAAAAGATGGGTTTTAGAATAATGGTGTAACTTGTTAAAATAAAAATGTATTTTTTAAACATGTTTTAATTGATATACGATTATGTATGTTAATT